AAATTGAAGAGAAGTCGACACTCAGAGCACATGACATCGAAAAGCACTCAAATAAGTGGATGAGTCCATGACTTTCATATTATATTATAATAAATTGGTTAGGAGTTGAGTTTGGATACATTTGACAGTATATTGACTGTTGATATGCTTTTAAATTATTATTAAAAATATTATTGTATTATAAGACTAAAATAAAATTTGTGTTTCCATAAATCTAAATTTTAATTTAATAGTCAAAATACCGGTACTTATAATACAATATTATTGGAAATAACTGATTTTATTCTCAAACAATTTGTTGACTTTTAATGTGCTAGTTATATTGTGACAAGCCATTTGACTTAATGCCTATTGTTGTTTGAAATTCAGTGATTTATTATATGAATGCATTAATACATCTATTATCCTAAAATTTGTTCATTTTACGATACTATCGATTTTATCTCGTAGTAATATTATTTGTATAAAATATCAATGAGCTCATACTAGTATTGTATAATGAACCAAAGAAAATAATTTGTTTTTATTGTCATTATTATATTTGTAAAGTTATACAATAGTTGATTTAAGGGTAATACAAAACCATAATGTAAAATTTAAATATCTTTATGGAACTTTATATATGATATTAAGTGTGTGTTATTTCAAGTATTATTGAAAGCAGAGTATAATCTTTTGATGTTTATTATAAAAATTTATATATTTTTATTGTGTTTTTAATACCAGTACTCGAGTACTAAATATGTATTGTATTCATACCTAATACCTCATGAATAAGTGCTTTTATTATATTAATAGCTTATAGCTTTTTTGTAAATAGAGTTTGTTGTGAAAAACAAAGTATATAAAACAATAAACAAAATAAATTATTTTCAATTATATTTTATAGAAAATATTGAGATTTTATTTTTTACATAATTTTAAATACAATAAAATTTAGAATATAATTTTTAATGATAAGGTAACATAATATATTTCATATATAATCTTCCAAAGATAACACCAATTAATCTAGAAATTTGAAAATATGGTTTTCAAAAAGTTTGAATATTTTTTATAAAACTTTTTCTTGAATAGATTACAACATAATTGTAAATATTTGACATAATATGTAAGATAATTACAGTATAATGAATAACATACAGTATAAACGAATTTTAGTTGTTTGTATATTTTACATATTTATGAAGTTTTTAAAATCAAATTCTTAAAATTATAGATTTTTACTATTATACTGGTATATTGAATATATGTAAACATCCTGTAGAGGGCTTAAATCATAAAACATAACATTTTTATTTGTATAACAAAATCTTGATATTAGGTATTTTTAATTCTAACATTATAAAATTTCATTAAATAGTCTTAACAATATTGCCTATTCGCATAAGTAATACACTCGTGTATCGCCCACACATGCCGTACCCCTGCCTTTATAATAGTTTATCGAAAATACTACAGAATATTCTTTATGTGCTTATCAACAGAAATCATATTCAATAACAGGATTCACTGCAAAACAATTGTGAATAATATTTATGAATTGGAAAACAGATGTTTTAATGAATATTCAAATAATATTTCTTTTTATAGAGAATCTAATTATTTAAATAATGAAGTCCTCAATAATGAAGACGAGCAAAAGCATATAAATACTTTTGAACAACAAATCAATTACTGATACAAAAATCTATTTTTAACACAAAGCATAATATATTGTGAAATATTGTTTGATGAAAAAAGTCTACTGCAAACCTACAGAGAATATACAGTATACAGTATTTCTGTTCTGTAGTATACAGTAAGCACATAATAGATTAAATCTTAATTTTAGTTATTTTAAAATCTTTCATTTTTAAAATAATAACCAAAAAAGAAATTTAAAAAGCAATTCTCAGTATTTATGACCGTATATTGGTTTATTCCTATATTTAAAATCTATATATGAATTGTTTAAATAATTTGTTGGTTATAAAATAAAATTCATTAATAAGCTTAATAAATACTAAAGAATATTCCAATAAATAAGATAAATGCAATAGACATTTTACAAAACGATCTGGACATTCATAGATCACAATCATAATCACTCTAACCCTTGATTTTCAACTAATCTCTGTATGTTTTAAAAATTCACTAGAGAATTTTTTATTTTAAAAATCTATATTGTATAACCAGGATCACTATTGATTCAGCCCTTAGCAACTCAATTTCCAAATCCAGTTTAATAATTCACTTTATAATTTATATTTTAAATTAAAGTTATTTTAATGTTTTTAAATGTATTTAATTAAATGCTAAATATATTTTTAAATTATTCTTTCAATGTTAAAACAAATAATACTGTAATATTAATAACTCATATTCATAATATAAATTTTCCTATTATAATGAAATTGTTTATTGAAAAAAACTATAACTACCGGTAATTTTCTCATTAAATTACATTAAATGTTAAAAATAAATTAAGTATATTTGTAAAATGAATAATTCATTTCGATTGTTATAATGTTAGATTAATATAAAAAATCAATTTTTACTCATTAGTGAAGCACAGCTTCTGACGGCAATAAAAATCATTCATTTTATTTAATGAATGAATAATAGACTCGAAAATAAATATATATTTAAAATTAGATTTTTTCATATAATGTATGAAAGGAAATGAAAACCGCGCAAACCATATAACACATGTATATTTAACATGTAAGTAATATATTATAATTGTGTTTTCATAGAAAACACACATATCTATATTAATATATTTGTATTGTTTTAGCGATTGAGACACAAATGTATTTTTAATATCAATCGATAAATGAATGAAAGAAAGAAAGACATAAAAGTGTGAAAAACACAAATAATAGCATAATATCTGGCATCCAATCGATAGAGAGAAATGAGCGATAAATTGATCAATTAATACATTATATCGTATGTGATATCATATATAATACTAGACGTCGTGCTCGACATCAACGTTGACAGCATTGGCACTGATATTATCGGGCGACTCCTGTAACGACATAATCGACAGCTTCTTGTTATTAAGGGTTGTGGTGGCTGTGGTGACCACTGTATCCAAACGGGTCTCGTTATCATTGATGGACGACCGTCGCCGCTCATCAGATATGCTCACGACTGGCCTCAGGTCGCAGCGCATCAGATACGAGAAGAACTTCTTGGCGCCCGTCCTGAACGTCGAGTTCAGCCAACAGTAGATGAATGGGTTGTAACTGTAAGCGAGATCATCCTATTTGTTACATACGTCAAACACGACACAGTAGTCTAGGTTTTTATAAATGCAGTCCTTATGTAAGCTTTTTTTGTGACAGGTGTAATACTTTATGCATTTTTGTTTTTATTCGTAAATTAATTGCCGCTAAACTGATTACTTTTAAGACATAGTATTTGGTGACAATATACTTACCAAACGGATGACATCGCAAACCAGTGACACTATTCATTGTGAGATAAGAAATGTGATCAGTTATTAACAGTTGGTATTTAGTATTAATCTAATTGGACGGCAATATAATTCTCAATTTTCTTTGAGTTCATTAAACACACTATTAATGCTAAAGTGTATTCAACACAAACTTATGGATTAAACCTTAAGGCCTTTTTGGAGATCATTTGTTCAGTTATCCAACTCTTAAGTAAACACTTATGAAACAATTGGTAATTAAAAATATATTCTGTTTATTAAATTGCTATACTTAATTAAGTTATGTTTGCATAACATTATTATTTTTGAATATTCTTAGTACTTCTACTTTATCACTCAAAGTATTTTTAATCAAATAAATATTTACTTTAATAGTTTATAATTTTTTTAGATTTTTTGTCATTAAACAATATATATTATTCATACGCAAGAATTTTGTTTGTAGGCAAAGGTTTGCATAAATTGACATTTAAAATCATTAATGCAATTAAAATGTTAATTATATTAAAAAAGTTATACACAAACCCACTGTTCTCCATAATATATTACGAGTTTTTTGTGCTCACGTTTTAAGTGTTTTGCAAAATAAAGCAGTTTGATCTGGGAAAAATATTTATGTGTTTCACTCATTAAATGTCTGGTTATTTATGTCGGTGTGATTTGGGAATACGGAATGCATTAGTTTCTAATGAGTTCTCCCTTTAATGCCATACAACACACAACACATAGACTTCTGTTTAATGTTTTTTAAGTGTTTTCATTTCAGTGATCAATACTACATTAAATTAGTTATATCCATATCATAAGAATAGCAATTAATTAAATCAGCTTTTATAATGAGATAATAAATTATTAAAATAATGTGCGTTTAATGAAATCTTATATGAGAATTATCGCCAAGATTTGTGTAAGCCAATATATTACAGTAAATAATTAATTAGCGTAAGAATATAATTACCGAGATAAATAAGTGATAGTTTTGTATTATAACACCAGAATCGACGAGTAAGTGATAAAAATTAATTGGCTTTTCGTATGTCGTGTATACATGTCGTGTAGATGTGGTGGGAGTAGAGGGGGATTGGAGGGGAGAGTAAAACATATAATTAATAATTACATAACAATACTACTATTAATGTTGTTGTAAACGAAACTACGGCTACAACCGCATCAATAATATAAATGTATGGCTCGTTGTGGACACATACCAACCAACACACGGCAAACACGACCACCACTAACACCAACATTAATATACGCCGGCGTTTCCTATCAGACCTACGTTTGGAGTCCGATCGACCTATACATGTGAAAAATAAATGTTTCATTATTTTTGTTATATTTGAGAATTTTGATTAAAAATATTTTTCTACATGTTATATTTTATAATTAGAAAATTGTAATTTTATCATGTGTGTTTTAAAATTTTATGTAAATAAGTTATATAAACAAAATAATATCTACATTGAAATATAAGTAAAACAAAAATTAATTAATGGAGTAATTAGTGATAGGATTTACAGCACATTAGGAAGTAGTCGTAAACGAAAATCCTGTGACTGTTTAGGTTTTTATTTGTGTTTTATTTTATGGACTTATTTTTGAGACTACTATAAATGAAACAATACTTGAGTTAATGACAAATTCTTTGTCGGAGTCAGAGATTACTGGAAAAGAAAAGATCTGTCTGTTCAGGTAAAACACTGTACTACCGGTGCAACCAATGTATTGGTCGACAAATAATTGTATAATAAGTGCACAAACATTTCGATAAATTATTATTTTTTAGACATCATTAAATGGATGAGAGATGATATAAACTTTTCAATGAAGGAGAGAGAGAGAGAGAGAGTGAGTGAGAGAGAGAGAGAGAGATCAACAAAAGGTTTGAAATGGCATTAATTTTCAATAAATAGTGGATTTTGAGTGCAATTAAGAAACAAATCACTAGAGACTTGGATTAAGTAAAATGTTTTACGAAATGATTTTAAAAAGATGATTTAATGTAATGAATTGTAATTAATTTTAATGGCATTAATTAATGTTGTATAATATTTCACTATAATTAAAATGTTAGTCTCTTTCTAACTCAATTTCTAA